CCCATACATCATATCTATCTATCTATCTATCTATCTATCTATCTATCTATTTATCATGTATCCATGTATCCGTCTATCCATCTGTCATTCCATCTTTTATGTGTCCATCTATCTAGCCATCTCTCTACCTATCAATCATCTATCAATGCACCCATCCATCTAACAGTATCTGTCATCTGTTTACCTATCTGCCTAACACTATTGCCCATTACTCATCTATGTGTCCATACCGTGTATTTGTTGATCTGCATATATATGGATACATCTGCATGGTGCCCGAGAGGGTTTACTATGGTGCCCTTCTAGAGAAGGGTCTTCTCTAGAACCCGAACGCTTCCTGACATCACCTGGAGGTGCACCTGTGTCTGCCTTCATCGTCATGTTGGGGAGGTCTTCACGTCCACAACAGAGAGGTTTAAACACTGTCTGGAAATCAGGGAAATGTGTATACCCAGGGCACGTCATACTGAAGGGCTCCGGTCCCCAGGGGTTTGAATACAGCAAACGAGGGAGGGGACTCATCCTCGGGTTCAGGCAAATGTGAGACCACGAGGATGCCTTGGCCTGTCCTCAAACGTTCCTTGCCCGGGCTTTCTCCTTGGTAGCTTTGCTGGGCACGTTGCTAGAAACTGGAGAGGGACAAATCACCCTACTTGTGGTTAAACTATTCTTTGGCAAGTTAGCATGTCAACCTACAGAAGAGATTTGAATGAGCATCTCTGAATAGAGGACAACATTAGCGAGTTGACCACATTACCCCTGCCCCCCCACCTCCGAAACTATCAACCGGCTCAACACCATCTCTCCAACATATTCATTGCGTTTGCCCTGCTAGCTCCGTCGGGGTCGAGCGCGCCTGAAACTCCTGTTATGTGATATTTCCAACCTACCACTTCCCGGCAGGTCCCCAGCGCCCAGGCCCGTTGGCTTTAGTTTCACAGAAGAGTGCTTCACGTTAATCGATTCCTGCACGCAGTTGCTTCCTGCCCTACAGACGGAGGCTGGTGTGGCAGGTGCCACTCAGACAGCACAGCTGAGAAACTCATGCGTAGGGGGTGAGCCTCGAAAATGGAAAAAAAAAAAAAGCAAGAGAGACAGAAAACAGCGTAAGGCAGACAGAAAGCAAGGGGCGTCTTGCATTTCAGAGAATCCGGTCTCTGGCTGGTCAGCTAGCCCTTTGGCTGTGCCCCGAGTCTGGGGGGGGGGGGGGAAGAAAAAGACACAGAAGCGAAAGGACCCTGCTGTCTTGCAGGAGACGGAGATTAAAATCTGCATGCTCCACACTCGTTTGGACAGACAACGGCATGCAAATCACCCGTAATTTACGGTGCACTCGGGTTGCGCAATGCAGAGAGAAACAGCAGAGAGGAGGTGACACCATCACACGTGTGCCTGTGCCCTGAGCACCCACGGTCGTTGCACTGTGATCTGAGCACTCGGCCAGGTCCTCTGCCCCTCAGCCCCAGCTTCAGCCCCCAGCTGTCCCCGTAAACTGCGTTCTGGCACCTCTTTGAAGTCTTAGAACACAGGGTTCACTCGGAGGCGATGCAGCGGTCATGTGCGTCTCAGGTCTACAGAGATGGGGGCCTCGGCAGGCCTGGGCGGTATCCTGTCAGACTTCAAGAGGACGCCGTTACCGCCTCCAGGGTGGCCACGAGGCCACCGGTGATGCAAAGGCCCCCTCAGAATGCCCCTCGCTGACTGACGACCGTTGCACATCCTCAGCGGGGTTTGTCGTTGCCACTGGTTTCAGACCCCAGTCATTCCGATACCTGTCTGGTGGCATCTCATTGTGGGGCTGATGTGCCCGTCCCTGGTGACACATCGTGGCCG